TGCGCAAGGGTTACCCTCGTTTCTTGCGTAAACTGGAGCTCTTCGTCTGCAATGGGTGGTGGCTGAGAGAGAGTCGGTGAAAGTGTTCATGGCTCCACTGTGAATGGTGGCCAGTGCTTTTTGGAAGTTAGTTGCGTTCGAAGCCTGGTCGATGTCGTCGACGTAGTTGAGGAATGAGCTCTTGATGCTCTTAGGAGGCGGTTTCACGAATGCAGTTCAGCAATAATTGCTTGAAGAGGATTTCATTCTGTTCGATAGAAGACATCAATAGGCATCTGACAAGTTTGAAACTTCCATTCATTCAAACGATCTCACGACTTCTCTGGCAGGAACGAATTCGATTAACCCAAGTTTCTAATACTCTTTACACTAAATCAAGTTGTATGTGATGAATAGCACGTTCACTATTGACTACTAAGCTTTAAGGGAATCTGTTTTTTGTCTACGGATTAATGAACTCAAATAACCCCAAGAGTAGTCTAATGGTGGACTTCTGCAAGCCATTGAAAGTCAAAATGTCTTGAAATAATCGAACCTCCAAACTTTTCTCGCAATAATTCGAATTTTTATAATCAAGTCGCTAGTAAACACATGCTTTGGTGAATCATTTTTTGGCGAATTCATTGCTTTACTTCATTCAAATATTAAATGGATATACTATAAGAGTTAAAATAAACTTAMAAACTGCTCAGACATTTGCGAAAAAGTATAAGCAACGAAATATCAGCGAATTGAATGCCAACTGCTAAAGATACGAGACCACAGCTGAAACCTGTTTAGGTCAGTTTTAATCCGGTTTACAACCTGCACATTCGAGGTTGATGGATTATCTTTAGTAAATGTCAATGCCTTTGTGCTGAACCCGTGAGGAAATAAACTGAAGTTTTAAGCACTCATGTATACTGATATAAAAAAAATTTACTTTTTTTTTACTAATTTAATCTTCGAAATACCCGACTACTTCTTGCATTTTAATTTTTGTTAAATTTCCTCATTCCTTTGCGAAACTTTCTGTTTATTTTTCTGTATTTCTGTATACAAGTAAGCTTTGATTATTAATGTGTGTGTGAATTTTCTTGTTTTTCCTTTGTCCTGCAAACTTTTTATAGCTTTGTGCGGGTGGACACAAACACATATACTGGCGTTCGTTATTTCATTTACCTCACTTTTATTCCTCATAATCAACTTTAATTGTGGTCAGATAATTGAAGTCAATTATATACAACAACAAATTAAATAAACASACAGCACTAAAACGAGTTGCTGTAAGGGTCTATCGTCCCGTTAATCATAAGCTATTGCCGGTTCCATGAAATTTATTTATTATTTGGTTCAAGTTTATTTGTGTTGTGTGTCCTCTCGGACGGCCCAAGCAAACAACCTTTTGTTGCAAACACAAGCACCGGTGGTTCTCTTATTTACTTTTACTTCGGACTGTAATTTCATTTGAGTGGTACCTTTACACCTTTATATAATACATATACCCATTCTTGAGTGTATGTTGACGGCGCTGTTGAGGTTTATTAACCCGTCACACAAATGGCGCCATTGAATTATTGCACAGAAAGGCCATAAAAATTCCTTAACCAAAAATATACGCATGTGCAAGAGCGCGAATGAGAATTGTGTGCGAGTGCCCACTTTGCTTTTGGACTTCTACTGAATGCCATTTGAGTAGTTTGCGCGTCGCCGAGTCTCCGCGTATGACTAAGCCACTCGGTGCGATGGGTTGTGTGGGTGGCCGGCGTTAAGTGGAAATCAAAATTTCGATTTCCGCCTTTGGCTACTGAACATTTCAGCAAACACTTGTTTTGCTAATGGATTTCAAGGCTTTAATGCATTATATACTACATTTGAAATTTGTATGCCTGCAGGTGCTGTTGTGAATGTAGTGTGCTTGAAAATTTTGAAAATTTTGAAAATATTTCAGATTGAGTGCTGCTATTCTGTGATTATGCTTCCCAAAGGTGTCTAGATATAATGGTAGATTATGATAGAAAAGTTCATTTCAATATAAGAACGATAAAAKATTTCATGGGTTTTGTTTAAATATCAAAGTGTTCTTTTAGGTATGAGCTTTCTAGCGTTACTTTAAAGGTTCGAGTTACCCACATATTGGGYAGTCGAAAAAGCCTTTTCGTATKTTGTCAATAGATGTCGTTGCAGTCGCATATCTCCGGTTTGATTAGAAATACGAAAAGACTTTTTCGACTACCMAWTAKWACTTCAATTTAGCTTMCTTTGAAAAAGATATGAGCGCGCTTACCAAAYATTATGATATTTTTACGCTTACTACTCAATAACATAACTCACTATCTGCCAACTATCAACTTGATTACCATTTCTTTATTTACAATTTGCTACTTATTGACATTTTGGAGACGTACTGTAAACACACTCTTAATGTACACTYTTCTCAAAGAGTGAGAAGAAATACTCCACTCTCCACTYCTTCTTTTTCCAAGTGTTACTGTATTGGTAATCGACCCGTAAACATATTCACATACAAATATTCGTATTTATGAGTTTGGGCGAAAGAGATTGCATKAGTTCGAACTGTTTCAGATTATGCCGGCTTTGATTGGCGCGACTCGTGCGTTAAGTAAGACATCCGTGAAACGCCATTTGCCTTGGGTGGGGTTTTATTTATTTTTAAGCTCTGGCATATCTTCCCACTTACACGCCTTTCGCTAGTCGCTTGCYGAAATAGCAGTGAATGGATTTGTTGTGGACAACATGCGTCGTTTCGATGGCGCCTGATTTCGAATTTTACGAGCGCATACTTCGCATGCTATGGAATTAGGCTGAGGGCATCKTTTACAAGTGTACATATGTACTACTGAGTTGTGTGACGCAGCACATAATATACATATAAATGCTTATTGCGAATGTTTTTATGTACGAAAGCGAATATTTTTTTTATAGTTTTCGTATTTTGATTAAAAATGTTCAGCATTTTGGCTCTTTTTTTCCATAAGTTTTTTCGCAAATCCGCTCGTTCTCATGCCACTTACTTTAAAGTCGCTGACTCATTTTTTGTACACGCTGCCACACATTTTTCATTACATAAGGCACACTCACATTTAGAGCCAAATAGYCTCATATATACATACATAAATACATTTTACAAGCGTATGTCCTTTTATTATGCATAAAAATATATGTGTTTTTATGTTTGTAGTAGATATACTCTGCTTTAAGCACAACTATTTAATATTTTCATTCATAATATCTACATGAGCATATCCTTTTTGAACATGCTTTTCATTTTTTCCGCTACTTGCCCCAGCATGCGCCTGCTTTTATACTTTGCTTTGCTACGCATGAATTTATGTTCGTATTTACGGTTACATGGCGTAGTGCGCTCGCAGTTTTTCACTTTCGGGTTCTCATTGCCAGTCATGCATGTTGAGAATTATTGCTTTCTGTGTTATATTTATTGCTTTGTTTCGCCATTTTGATTTCTCGTTTTAATATGCGCTTCCATTTTGTTGTTGTTGTTAAATAGAATTTGCTACTTTCCTTTTTTGCACTAAAAGGCAACGGCATCTCGTTTACTTAGTTACATTTAGTTAGGAATTCATCACTTCACAAGCCATTTTGATAAAAAAAAAAGGCAAACTRGGAGAAAGGCCCATAAAAAAGCATTTAACTAAAAACCATTCAACCTTCTCGGACACTGAGGGTACGGAAGCTCTTCATACTAATTCACTTTGGAGTGTGCTTGAGCGGAAATTGCTTGAAAAAAAGTAAAAAGAGTTGATGCTAGCATTCTTAATAATCAATTTATATACGATTTTCGTTAGAAAAAAACATTAAATATAAAAAAAATKAAGTTTTAAAYATGAAAATTTAAMATGCTAACAGAAATGCTGCTTTAAGAAAAACATTTTCTKGTTTTCATTTTCGCACGTCAACTCTTTTTACGACTAAATAATTAAATTATTGCATATATTAACCATATTTTCTTAATTAGGTGCACCCCTAATGTGAATTGGTATCAAATTTCTTTCGCTTTCCATCTCTCTTCACTCACAAAACGTTCACACAAACATACATTTTCATGTAAAGTATTACATTTAATTCTGTTACTRTGATGGATTGTCTTCCTTTTCTTATAAACAATTATTTTATATTAATCCAAAGGCATAATTGCAAGCGATATTTATTTGAGCTTTTGGCGTGTTTGAATAGCTTAAATACTCCTGAACTGTGGAAATTTGTACCATCTTGATTTATATGTAAAATTACTATTTGTATTTCGGATTAAACAAAATTTAAAAAAAAATTAAAACAATTTTAAAAAAATTATGAAATTTTTACGCAAACCGAAAAATAATTTTTTCCTGRAATAAAAAACAATCCCGTAAATAACATAAACATATAAACATTCAACGTTACACAAACATACAACAAGCTGAACGTTAGTGAATATGAGCGGTGCAGCTCATAAAAAATGACTACTCCTTACGGAAAACTGGTCTATGAGTGGCCTATTGGCCTACCAGATTAACCTAACCCAAGCTGGTGAATATATTCAAAACTTGATTAAAAATACTATATTAAAACTCCTGAATATTCCGATATTTGAAGAAATTACTGAAGTCAAAAATAAGGGCTCCTCGGAAAAGTGATTTTTCAAATCATATCACATGATAGAACATACTGGAAACACACATTTTTGAAATTTGACCTTGAGAGTTTTTCTTTTATCGGAATSTTGAGCGCTTTTAGTATATTGTGCCTAATAATGTCTTGAATATATTCGCTAACTTTCGGCTTGTTATAAATATWTGTAACTCTAATCATATTTTTTGAAATAAATTAACCGCTTTTGCTTTATTTCCACATAATGGAAAGCACTCTTTAGAAATGTACACGAAACACTCCGAAAGCTCGTCTAGATCCATGAATATCGCTTGTGGCTGACACTTAGTTTTTAGTTTTTGGTTCGACAAATTGTTTTCTTTGCGCTTGCATGTCTATAGTGTTTATTTCAGAGACCGGGACAAAATCGGTAAGCCAGTGAACACGAAGATGCCATCTGCGCCGACACACACGGCCGAGGAGGCACGTCTGTTGGGGTAAGCGCGCTGATTATAAACGCCTACAATAAGAAACTACAATTACAACTAGCAACTACAAACTGCATTGAATAGTTTCCATAACAATAAAACCAAAGTACGAAATAAAAATTATACGAAAATAAACGACTTCTCATATAACGGTGAAGATTCGAATAGCCTGCTAAGCAACAACTCAAAACATACAAATCCCGACCTAAACGTGTATTTTATATAATTTATTATATATAGTATATTTTCCATACGTTAGATATGTATATAGTACATTATGTACGTATATATAATTTCATAAGTTTTACTGTATGTATTTTCCTTAAGCTTTTATATTCCGTAAAAAATTGAATACTTGCTCAGTTTGTTATGACTATTTATTTTATACTTTTTACTAAAATAATTTTATTATATTTTACTAGCTTAGTATGTATGATTTTTTACTTAAACTAGCTTAGCAATAGTCTTGAAACACGTAGCTTAGCAACTGGTATGAGCAATTAGTTGCATTGACGCATTAAAGAGCATCYCCCCAAGTATATATAGGCAAGCAGGAACTGCATCCAAGTACTTGATTGTATTGTAAAATATAGCAAAAAATAATTTGGACTCAAACCTAAAAACATAAGCCTCAGCATAGCATCCATACAGTTGATTGTGCCTAGCATACACTTGCCTGCGATAGATGAATGTACACCAATAGTTAGTAAGCAAGAAATGCAAACACTAAAGCTAACTTTAATAAATCGGAATGAAAGCTAAATATATACAAATGCAAAGGTCTCCTGCTAGTTTGTGAAACCTAAGAAAAAATAAAAAAATAACACCCTACCACTACACAAGCTCAAACACATTTCCACACACCAAATGCTACTCKAATATCTGTATTATAGCAGCTATGAACCGCTCTCACATAGAAGTCAATTCCATACGGTCCCCACTTAGCAATTACAACTAAATATATACACATACTATAATGCCAAGCAGTCAGYTGAATAATTATGCAAAAGTTAGGTTATGTTAAAAAGTGTTATTTGAAATTGGCCGCAATTTGTACTAATAWTCTATTATTTTCACTTCACTTCACTTAGCACCATGCCCGTCGATCCTATGGACGATATTGAATTGCGCTCTGTGTGGCTGCAATTCCCATACACACGCGGCTCCACWTTGCAGGCATGCGAGCAACGTCTTGTGCCCACTGATAAGGGCGATATACACGTGTCCGTGCAGGGCGACACTACAAAGCCGGCAATTTTGACGTATCATGATCTGGGATTAAATTGTAAGTATGAAATGATTTTTATTAACTTTGAAGAGGGTGAAWAGAAAAATTTTAAAAGAGAGGAAGAGGAAGAAAGAGAGAGAGTGGATCCCTAAGGTAAGACAATCTGACTTTTTAGAAGAGAAACTGAGGTTTTCTAGTTTAGTTTAGTTTTTACTGTATCTCCGAAACTATTACTCGAATCAACTTGAAAGTTTAGGACAACATTTTAGAAGTGTTGTAGAATTTAATAAGACAATAAAAAATTTTTAAACCCGTAAACCCATAYAACCCCTTAAAGAAACTTTTCAAATCTTTTTTTTTTTTTTAATTGTTTTCAGATGCTACTAGCTTTGCTGGATTTTTCAACTTTCCGCCACTTCGTAGTTTGCTTGAGAATTTCTGCGTCTATCATGTGACAGCTCCCGGGCAAGAGGAAGGAGCACCTACATTGCCAGAAGAGTAAATATAAATGAACTAATGTGGATTGATAAGAGAAAGTGAACAAAATATTAGGTTTCAAGTTAATAACCACGAAAAATTCGGCTTAAATTGAGAAGAGCTTATTTACGACGACGAGCTTATATTACGACTTTATGACSACAGATCGACTAATGTTAGTCTGTGAACTTGAAATTTAGTCTTTTTTTTAATGTTGTAATGAAAAGAAATGTTTTTACATAAACAAATCTTGAACTTATTTTCAAATAAATGACATATAAATGTCACTTCAAGCAGCCAATATGTCAAAACGGATTCTAAAGATGTATTTAGTCAAGTCGTTTAGACTTTTTTTAACATTTGTAACATACAGACTCCTTTTTTACGTTTTCTGAGTTAGAAGTACTCTTATCAGTTCACAATTTTCGATCTTATGCATTATTGGGATATTTAAATACATTAATGTTTTATATAAAAATGCAAACCACTGTCACTTTAACAATACTTCCCTCCCGCAGTTACGTCTATCCAACCATGGATGAATTGGCCGCTCAGCTGGTTTTCGTGATGTCGCATTTTGGTCTGAAATCAGTGATCGGCTTCGGTGTTGGCGCTGGCGCCAATATACTGGCACGCTTCGCTCACAACCATCCGGATAAGGTCGGCGCCTTGGTGCTCATCAATTGCGTTTCGACACAGTCCGGCTGGATCGAGTGGGGCTACCAGAGTTTCAATACACGTTTCTTGCGTACCAAAGGTATGACTCAGAGCGTCATCGATTATTTGATGTGGCACCATTTGGGCCGCAATCCAGAGGAGCGCAACTACGATATGGTGCAAATGTTTAAGCAACACTTTGAACGCGGCGTCAATCCCACTAACTTGGCCATGTTCATCAATTCGTACATACATCGCAACGATTTGAATATTACACGTACACCACCTGGCACTCCCGGTACGCAGCCATCGTCGTGCACACTGAAAATGCCGGTTATTAATATTACTGGCGCCTTATCRCCACATGTCGACGACACCGTTACCTTCAATGGGCGCTTGGATCCAACAAACTCATCTTGGATGAAGGTTTGCCAAACAACTTTGCAACTATTGTATATATTTATTTGTAAATGATGGATTTCTCTGTGCTTTGCAGATCTCCGATTGCGCCATGGTGATGGAGGAACAGCCGGCGAAATTGGCCGAGGCCTTCAGGCTTTTCCTGCAGGGCGAGGGCTACGGTAAGTGTTAAAGCACTGCGGAACYTAACTCTAGCATTWCAAAGATMTTACCATCACCTCCATCAYAAACCACAACAACCACCAATTACTTATACAATATACCACATAGTTCCCATTGCCATTCGTAGCTGACATATTTTCGAAATTTGTAAGACATCGTGTAAAAATTAAAAGCTATTCATCAGGCACATTCTTTGAAACAGTAAATCATATGCGAAAGCGAAGGCGAAAGTGCTTACACACTAGCGTTATACAATATATGCAAAATTAAGCGCGCATAAACTTTTGGTCAAAATACATTTATATTTAATATTAGGAAACACTCGTTATTTACTATTAGAAATAATTGAAAGTCGCATTTATTATTGAAAATCGTTTTGAAGCGAAGAAAGGTTAAGCTTAACTAGTTTATTTGAACTGAACATATATTTTACATACACACTGTTGCATAAATCAAAATATTTTWAGTGTACGGACTGTAGAAGTTTTGATCAGGACATGAAAAATAAGTTGCAATCTGCTTATRAAACGAAATGCGTACAATTTCCCGAACTATTCGATAAATCTCAATTTCAAAGCATGCGCATTYTTCACTATTCACTCGCGTTCTAAGGAGTTTGTCCTTACTTAGGGGGTTATATCCACTTGCAAGTCAGAAAAAYACGTTTTGTCGTGCATTTTTTGGAGGAGATAGATACTTATTTGTTGAKTTTTTATTAATGAAATAACATTTTGAGAATGTGCCGAATTTCATGTTCAGTGATTCTTATTGAAAAGTTTTGGATGCCCTTGATTCCTTAGTCGATCTGTTGCAGGATCTCCGAAAACAGTTGAMTGGGCTTGAGAACGATCTTTCTATTTAAAATTTTCTCAATTTTAAGATAAAATTAAAATATCATTACTTTAGATGAATACAGGTTTGCTAAGAAGGAGCAGTAGTAAAAATATAGATTTTTGACCAAATTTTGGGTTGCCAAAGTAAATATTTTTTTTTTGTGAAAATTTACACTTCAGATGGTCAAAAAGCAAAATACTTTAAAAACTATTATTTTTCGAACATTACCTGATAAATATAACCGAAATGGAGTCGGAGCGAGTTTGAAATTTTGTGGACTGATTACAYTAAGTTCAAAAATTTTATAAWTGCGCTCATAACTTGAAAACTATTCGGCAAATTACCTTAAAATTTTCCAATAATATTCTCAAATCTACCTGTTTTCTATATACAATCACCTATGTACAATGCAAAATAAAGTAATATCACGTTTGATAGGTTTATAGGTGAAGCAAAAGCAATATAATGAAAACCACTAAAATTTAAACAAAATTTTAGTTTTGGTTATAAAATGGTTATATATAGGATATACAGTGGTTATATATTGGTTATCAGATACTCATGTTGAAAAAATTAAAGTCTTCGTTATAAAATGGTTATATATTGGTTATTATATCTGACATTGATATTCATTTTTTTTTTTTTTTTTTTGATGATTCGGAGTTTTGCATTTCAGGTGACGATATGTACATATAAGCCAAAAAAAATCAAATTCAAGTGGATATAACCCTAAAATAGCGCCCAGAAAGCTTTTCAATACAGTATTATCCCAAATATGCTTTCTGCCTCTATAATGTGTGAATCGCTCAATTTGTTTACACGTGAGTTATTTTCAGAGACTTCACTTCCGTTATAGGTGAACCAAAGATGCTCCTTGAACAGTTTTTAATATTGTGCAGAGAACTTTGACTCAGTTTAAGATTTCGAACTTCTTTAGCTGCTTAAAATAAGAACAGCATTAAGTCGAATTATTTTTGAAACTTGTTTGTTTTATCATCCTKCTTCCTTTGTTAATATTTTTACGATATTCCCTCCTGTTTAACGTTTTTCATGCACTTCTAAGCAATATTTAGTGGCAGGGATATGCAAATAATTTGGATTTTGAAAAACCAATTAGCTTAAGCGAGCTCGTAATAACATAATAAAABTAAAACCGCATTACGCTTTAATTATATGATAACCTGGAAGCAAAGCAAGTTMTATTTGGCTTTAAAGCTTTAGCAAAATTATTAACGACAAGCGAAACGGCAAGCAGATTAGCAAATTTAGCGAAATTGTCGTTGGTCTCAACAACCAACGGCAGTTCGAATTCATACGACTTAAGCATAAAGTTAAACAGTGTATAAGAATAGTAAAATTTTAGCATACTTGAAAAGTGTATTGCATAATAATTGTTGTTTGCTGAAAGTACACACATTGAAAAGACGTAAGAAGTTAAGTGCAAACTGACTTTTATTTAAAATAGCATTAAAGAAACATATAAACGAACTTCATATACCATACTTACAAGCCTTAATTAAACACATTTATACAAAAGTATTTACTCAGATGRTATATTCAAACACCAAGCTACGCCGAATTCTACCAAATCTACACATMGCATGCATTGACATTAATTTAATACATACAAACGTAATTATAACGGATTCATGCATACACAGCAGCTACCTAACGCTAATTACTACAACATTTACTCATACATAACGACATTTATTAAAATCAAATTGTTTGTATGCATAATCGTACCAAATTGCATTCGTCATACATATATACAAATTATTATACTATACTTATGTAGGTATGTATGTAAGCAAAAACAAAAARAGTTTGAAATTGGCTATGAATACATACTTTATTTGTACTGAAAAATATAGTAATTAAAAATTTGTTAAAATTACTACTTTTGCGAGTATTGGAAAGATGTGAATTTAATTGGATTTATTCTGAAATAAAATAAAGTGTTGTTTGAAAGCAAAATGAGAAAAAAACWTAGATTAAATTATTTGACTCACTTCTGTTTAGCTCATTAGTCAGACCAACCAACATGAACCAAAAGYGATGGGCGCACACAAATTGCGGTGGAGTTAGGTAAAGATTGAAGTTAGGAGGTTAGAACGCAATTTTTTAGAAGAGTTGAATTGGCATAATATTGATTAAAAACAAGCATATTGGACTAAGCTGCCTTTTAAGTTAACTCTCCGACTTGCTTCACGATTTAGCAATATTTTGATGGATKTTTTAACTCTAAAGCAAAAAGAATAAAAACACGTGAGCAATTTTTATGACATAAAGCCTCTGTATAAAT